AAGAAGGAATTGTTTTATTAGTTATAACTTATACGACTGTGTTTTATTTTGGTGGGCACTTGAGTATTGGGTTGAGCTTAGGTTATTAGTTATATAGGCTTTTGGGTCACGAGACATTGGGATTTGCTTGATTGTTGTTAGTTTGTTACGATGAACTATCATTTTAGTTTGAGCCTTATTAGTTTAACTTTTGCCTTTTCATCTACTCCTGATTTGCTCATATGCTCTTTCATCCCTAGCTTTCTAGGGTTCAAAATGAAATTCAATCAAAGAGGAAAATCCACCAATTGAAGAGGAAAAGGGACGTCTTTTGTGCTCGATGTGGCAATATTATCGACAAGAAATCTTATTTTGCTTCTAGACAAACAATGGCTACGTGATGGTGTTCCCCGACATGTGAGTGAGGTTGTCGATTGCCGCTTATCGCTTGCTGTTCATAATAACCTATGTCATTATTTGACCCACCTTAACAAAATTTCTGGCTACGCCACTGCCCGTTAGGTCGTTCCCCAATCCAAAAATGACACTATTCCCCATCAAACCCCCCCCCCCCCCGGTCCAGCCAACCCTAATTCTTCCTTCTTCGTCGTCCTCCTCCAAACCCCAACCACCCTTCGATATCGAATTCGCCTCCGCCCTCCAAACCCCAGCCACCCTCGACCAAAACTTCCCAATTCCGACTTCCCTTCCCTACCTCCCTTCGTCGACCCTCATACATTATCCATATTTTAGGTTTATATTGTCATAAAAACTAATAACATCTGTAAAGTATTCTATCTTGTTTCGGTTAGATAAATGACGTCATTTAACTTCAATGGCGTCTGTTGGGTGGAAACCGAACTAGGTTTTGGCAAAACTCAACCCGTCAAATTAAAAAACAAGTTAAATTTGCATCAGACCGAATCCATCAACACTAACTTTTACTCATTTTGGTCAATTCAAGCCGGATTGAATACCGATGAGATCAAAGTTCAATTCACACCCCTACGCCTTGTTGTTTAATTGGTTTTCACGATGAAAATAGAGAGATGGTGATTGTTGAGACGAGGGGCGGGTTAGGGTTTTGCCTTGGAGTTAGTTGCTTTTTTTTAAAGATTTCCCGCTTAAAGTGCATTAGTACGGTGGGACTTACTTAATTATGATTAGTGATTAAGCAAAAAATAAAAGAAGGAATAACTGGCATTAAAAAACAAATGAAAGGGTAAGATTCACGTGGTCACAAAGTAGTAGACGTGTCAGCAAAGCATAAAATTATTAGGGCAATGTTTATTTTTTACCCAAACCTTTTTCAGATTCTTTTATTTTAACTAAACCTATTGAATTCCTAAAAATTATCCAAACGTTAACTCGCCGTCAACTTTTCTGTTAGTAATGCTGACTAAGTATGACCATAATGAGTTGACTTCCTACGTGACGGTCAGAATACCATCATTTACTATTTTTAATAAAAAGATTATCAAAAAACAAAACAAAATCCCACCCCTCACGTGGACGAAATAAGTAACGGTAACAGAATGAATGCCCAGACTTTGATAAATTATAATACGTTTGGATAATAAATAGAATTTCTATAGGTTTGGTTAAAATAAAAGAATTTGAAAAAGGTTTGAGTAAAAAATAGTCATTGCCCAAATTATTAAACAAAAGAAACCTGGTCAGCCAAGTCCAATTGCTCTGGTTCACTGGCTTGTTATTATGATTAACAATTTCAATAAGAATAAAAATAATGATGCAAATGGGAGAAGATTTTTCTTTTGTTTTCCACTTTTGGGCACCACAATTGTCTTTACTTTTTTAGCTAATAAATATATTGTGCGATGACGACCCAGATGACGAACATTGCAAATTTCTGATTATATAATAATTCCAATTTAATCTTAACAAAAATATAAAAATATATGTAAGTTGTACTCTATATTATCTTTAAATAAGACCACCTGCCCTCTTGTATAATCAAATCGTTAAACAAATACATGACAGCATCAGTCGATCCAAACCAACCAAAGAATACCAGAATTTGTTTAACCTGGACGGATTCTGGTGGATTTCTTCTTCTCGCTTCTTCAACATGCATGTGACAATGAAAGTAAGTAGTATTTAATTAAGGATTAATCAATACTATAATCAAAATATCTTCGTCTCCTTTTGTTTGTGTTTAAGATTCAAAAAGAGCACTAGAGGATGTTTCCTCGTACACTCCTTTCCTTTATCTCGCAGGTTCTATGTTTTTTTTATTTTATCCCTTTTTTCTTCCATTAGTTTCATTTGGCCTTTGTTTCTCAATGCAGGAGTTAGCGTTTGGAGTATAGATGTAGAACAATGTCAGTACATAACATAATTTCACTTGGCATTTTTCTTACACTTGAGGTAAATCCTGACAGAAGGGATTAAAACAGAAAAGGGAAGGAAATTCTAAAAGAAAAAGAGGCTACTAGGTACTAAATTCAGACTTTGTTATTCACTTGAATCACTTACAAAATTTATTATATAAATAAACAATAATTGCGAAATGGTATAGGAGGATTATCAAAAAAGTAATTAAGATATATGGTATTTTGTGTTTATTGCTCTTTTCCTTTCTCTCTTAGTCCCGCTTTTATCGTTGCTAATTGCAAACCAACCACAATCCACCACTTTTTCCAATTCTTCTCCAGTTCCAATCGACCCGATCATATGCCCTGCTTTTCAACACATTTGACCATGGAACAACCACACTCACGACTTCTTCGATCCTTTTCTCCAGCTCAGGTCGACCCGAACTTCTGTCATTCTCTTCACTATCGTCGACTGTAGAGCAACCACGTTATTCCACTCGCACAAATCTAGGACTAATCGAGTAAAAGTCTCACTAGACTGAAAATTTGGACTATTAAATTGTTACATTTCAAGGACTACCCCTATCCTAGTTTTTAGATTTGAACTTTTTCTCCGCCCTCTCTCTTACTTTAATTTGAACGCTTTTCTCTGCCCTCTCTCTTCTTCTCGGTTCCACTTTTCTTGTTTTTCCAGGGGCTGCCGCCGGCTCCTTTTGGTGACCGTCGGCAGCTCAAGCCCTCCATTACTTTTTTTTTTCCCTTCCTTTTCTTTGTGCTCATGCTAATCCTGGCCTTGTTCTAGGTGATTTTCCTTCGGATTTCCAGCTTTTCCCTGCCGTTGTGGCCTTCAGCTTCCTTTCCAGTCGAGCTTTGTCTCTTCTTTTCCCGTCGAGCTTTGTCTCTTCCTTCGGTTCTTGGTACTCCTGTTCAAGGTTTGCTCGTTGTAGGATCCGGAGTTTGCAGTTTGGTGGGTGCCTATTCCAGATCTGGATGGTGGTGATTTTTCCAGATTGGTGGTCTCATCCTTTGATGCAACCATTCTCTTCTTTCCCTTTCCGACCTCCACTTTGTGTTCGTGTTGCGGGGTGAGTCGTCGGATCGTGGAGGGTCGGGTCTTCTCCGGTGGTTGTGGTTGGTAATCGGTGTTCTCCGTGGATATTTGTGGCTCCTTTGGGATCTTCTGCTCTGCTTCAAACATGATTTCTCTGCCTCAGCTTCCTCTGCCTCTGTCAGCTTGGAGCAATCTGTTCAAATCCTTTTCCACCGCCATGCAATCTTGTTTCTAGGATTCACTGTGATGGATGCCGTTGAGTTATCCCCATTCCCCAGGAGGCGGCATATGGTTGATGTAATCACTAGCCATGGATTTCGAGTTGATCGGACAAGCTGATTTCGCTCTTGTTGCATTCTAAGTGGTTGGTTGCAAGAGAGATTTCTGATGTACTGGTTTTTTCAAGGGTTCGATTCTGTTGGATGGTTGCTGTCAAACTGTGTTGTGCTCTCTGTTCTTGCTTTTGCTTTTCATGGTTTGATTGTAACCGAGTTCTCTTTTCCTTCTTCCTGTTGAACCAGAATGTTGGTTTGTTGTCTCTTTGTATCTGAACGGTTAAAATGCAATAAAGACTCTCCTTTGTCAAAAAAAAAAGGACTACCCCTACATTGGTAAATGAAGCCTTTGATGACCAAAAAAGTGAGTCATCTATGCTTATTATTATTATATATATGGTGTCCATGAGTAAAAATCAGAGGTTAAATCACCTCTACTGCAGCCTTGTGGGGCAAACTCTGAAGTTTGTACATAAATGGCAACTCCTTCTTTTTACTAAAGAAGAGCCCCAAGAGCAAGCAATCATGTCAATAGTAAAAACAAAGTAAAGCTGTTGCGCCTGTAAATGTACGAGTTCTCTTCCGAATCTGAATTTTGTTTTCTCTAGCTGCTGCTACGCCTTGTGAAGTTGTGATGTTTCCATTCTTTGGGGTTCTCTCTATCATTTTTTACTTTTAACTTTTTTTTTTTTGTTGTTGTTGTTAATATTGACAAGTCCCTCTCACCATAATAGCCCCAATGTCTGACTGGCTTTTGCCCTCCAAAGAGAACTGATTCAAAGGACACTCCAGATTGCGACTATTCATCTCACCATCTGCTCATATTTCCAAGACAACATCTCCTCTCTTCCTACAGAAGTTAAACTCAAAGTGGCTCAGAGGGTAAAAACAATAATGGGTTCTTTCCCCTATTAGCTAGGTTTTGAGAAATGCCCAAAAGATTAAATTTTTTTTTTAATTCCAATCCTCTCTATCTCTCTCTTATTGACTGATTTGGGGATCTTGCCTTGCATTGCATTTGCAACTTGTGGGATTACTCGATTGGGGAAGCCAGAAAGATCACCTCAAAGCAAGGTTGTTTGTTACATGGTCCATGAAACCGTACCGTACCGGTGGTTCAACCACAAAATACCAGTATCGGAGGCTAAACCGGTAGGCGGTATTTAACGGTACAACGGTTGAACTACGATTAAAGCACAGTTTTACCATAAAATACCCTATCGCTGACTTTCCCGGTACGGTCTCCGGTACGGTTTCATGGACCATGGTTTGTTACTCGATTAGGTGGGCTAAAGAAAAACAGACTATATGTAGGGCATTAAATGGGGAATTATGTAGAGCGCCAAAGCAAATAGTAACAGCCAACAGTTTTTTGAGTCAGAAACCCTGAATTGGGATTTACCTTTTTACCATAACAACAACAAAAAAACTACTCACAAAAAAGGTAAAGAGGCCTCTTTTCTTTTTCTTTTTTTTTTCCCTCGACCCTTCTGAGTTCTGCCTTCGTTAGCTAGCTTTGGCCTGATGGCTGATAGTACCAAAACCTTCACTCCCTCACCCTATTTAATTAAATTAACTAATTACAAGCTTCAGGCAGTGGCAGTAGATGCTCGAGTTATTAATCATAGTTTAATACTTCTAATAAAATTGACAATTAAGTAAATCGCATAAAAATGGCGGAGTTAATTAACTACGAGGGTCTCAAGAGGGAGTAATGGAACCCATTTTTGTGCAGCCAGTTGGGGGATGGAGACGGCGGCTTGGGGAATCCTGATGATGCTGCGGCGGCGGGGGCACTTCCATACATCTGCTGCTGATGTGGCGGCGGAGCTGGTGGTTGGGGAGGCGGCGCTCTTGTAGCTCCTCCTCCTGATAATTGCCATTGCTGATCGTAGTTATAATTATGATGATTATTATCGCTTGGAGATAACGAGAGGTCACTCCCAATTCTGCATCCGCCTCCTGCTCCTGTGTTACTGCTGTTTGCAAACTGAATTTACACCACTAACCCAATTAGAAAGTCATACTACAAATTTTCTCTTAAAATATACACCATAAATTCTAGGGATGGCAATGTGTCGGGTCGGGGACGGATAGTGCATATTCATTACCCTACCCAAAGTAGTTCGGGTTTTTCCCATGTCCATACCCACATAAGAAACGGGTAGAAAATCCAAACCATGCCCATACCCGTTCGGGTTTCGGGTATCCACGGTTATCCATGGGTAATAGTTTTTCTTTATAACTCCAATCAATATGTTAATATTTACACGTATTCTCACTTTACGTAAGACGAAAAGTACGACAATAATTCACTAGAATGAAGAAAATTAATTAAAACAACACAATTTCATAAAAAAAAATTATATTTATATGCTAAATATAAAATATGTTAGAGAAAAATATTGATTATTTCTAGACAAAATACATATGCATGTGTATAATCGGGCGGGTTCGGGTTGGATAGTGATAAAATCATGCACATCCATTACCCACAATATTCGGGTTCGGGTTTTACCCGTACCCACTAAAAGTCTTTCGGACTCGGATTTTACCCTATCCGATTAGGTCGGATTCGGACGGATATCCACGGATATTTTTGTCATCCCTAATAAATTCACATTTTTTTTAGTATTATTTGTTTTGCCCAGAAGCCAAAAATGTGAGCTGATGAGGTTGCTTTTCAAGGAATTTCAGATTGTAAAATTGTATCGAAAATTGAACTAATTAACCATATTTAGGTGAACAAAAAATGATATTATTGGTACCTGGAAATGATGGGAAGGCGGGAGGAGGTGGTTAGGGTAACGATGAAGAGATCCAGGAGCGCGGATGTGGGTTTGACTAAGCAGCTGCATTGCTTCCATCTCGCTGCTTCTCTGCTGCTCCTCATTGTTCTGTACATTACAACGAAACCCGGGGAAGACAACTAATGCTGTTAACTCTTTCTTGTCAAGTAAAAAATCACTAGCAATTATAAAAAAGATACAAACCTGATGAGGCCTTAATCCGCGATTCCGCCAGCTGGGATCGAACGCGGCATTGGCATCCATTCCGGCAGAAGAAGCAGAACCATGGCGAGGCCTCGTCTGGTGATCGAGATTGTTGGATTCTTGAGAGGAATTACTACCCAGACTCAGATCGAGATTGTGATCGGTAGCAGCGCTCATACTGCCAGCTGCGGGTTTTTGTGAATTAGTAGAGATAAAATCACTACAATGTAGCTTAATTACGCGATCAATTTGAGTACTGGAAATGTGATTGAAGGGGAAAAGCGCACCAGAAGGAGAGTTGCTGTTGCTGTTGTTATTATTGGTGGTGGTGGTGGTGGAGGAAGTTGTGTTGAGTTCATCATCATCATCATAAATGCTTGGATCAAAGTTTGTCACCGCATCTTTGCCATTGCACTTAATTGCTGCTTTATCATAAGCCCTGTAGAAATGGAAAATCAATAAATAAAAAAAGGAGAGGATCTGAATATATTGTGAAAAAGATGGCAAGGAAAATTGGCCATGTTAGTTACCTACCTGGCAGCTTCAATTTCAGTATCAAACAAACCCAAGTAAACATACCTGTGGGGGAAATCAAAAGGAAAATGTGTCTTTGAGTAACAGACAATAATAAATTCTGACATGGGGAAAAGGAGAAGAAGGTAAAGGGTACTTTTTGCCGAGGAATTGGCCCATCCGGGCTTCCCAGCGGCCACACTTGTGCAAAGTGACGCCTCTATATTTGGAACTGCCCCTTGGGAAACCGGTGCTCTGTCGCCTTAGTACATGCACAAACTCCTCCTTCGTCAAGTTGCTCATCTGTTATACAACAACAACAACAACAACAAAAGCATTAGAAGAAGAAGGAGAGGGATCGATTGTGGGAGCAACTGTTAACGATAAGGTGTAACATATACAAAATTAGCTAGCTGGGTAGCTGTATGCATACCCAGATAATATACCTGTTTGAGGTCGTCTTGATAATCTTGAATGGTGAAGTTAATATCAGCCTCCACACCTCTGAACTTGATCGCCGCTCTATCATATGCGCTGCAACACCCACACAACAAACAAAAGAAGAGAAGCCCACCCAAATCACATCATTCAAACACCCATCTGTCTGTCTGTCTGTATTCATTCATTAGCTCATAATCAGATGTTATGTATGCAGAAGAAGAAGAAGAAGAATGTTAGCAGGTATGCAGACAAAACGACCACTAGAGAGAGATAGAGAGAGAAGAGAACTCACCGAGCAGCTGCATGTGCTGTGTCAAATCCCCCTACACACAAACACCCTCATTCCATCAGTAACCAACTAGAAACCCATTTCTTTCTCACAATTCCCCTTCCAGATTCTTTAACCATACAGCAAAAACCCAGAAAGAAGAACTTACCCAGGTAGACTTGCTTCCCGCAATCCCTGCGCAATCAGAGAGAGAGAGAGAGAGGGAGAGGGGTAGTTGGTTTTATTGATTTACCCACAGTAAAAAAAAAAAAAAAATCCGGGGGGAGAAAAAAAAAAGAAACAAAAATGTTAAAAATAATTGTTTTGGGGGAACGGACCAAATGTGGGATTCCCAGCGGCCGGTTCTCCGGTAGTAGGTGACTCCTCGGTACTGCGAGCTCCTCGACCGCGGGCCCCGCCGGCTCTTCTTCATCGGCTGCGCCACCGCCACCGCCGATTCCGATTGGCAGAACTTCACTCCTACCCAGGGAGCCCGGGGAAACCCTCCCGCGGCGGCGCCGACCAGGGTAGAAGATGGGCCCACAATTTCCGTACCCTCCATCGGGAAAAACTGCCGGGTCACTGGCCCAGGGAGGCCCTCGATGCTGCTCATCATCATCTCCAAATCCTCTTCCTCTTCTTCCCCAACTAATCCTTCCTCCTCCGCCGCCGCCATGGAGAACCCGAATATCCTGCTGCTCATGCTCCGCGACGACGACATCATTCTCCCTCCGCCCACCATGGGTTCTTCTTCCGATCCGTCTTCCGTGGGCTGGGCGGCGGAGGAGCTGGAATTCGACACGGATCCGACCCTTTTCCCCTTGTCGGTTTGGGAATTACTGGAGCACCCTTCTTCCGATGCCTCTTCCGGCACCGCCGCGGCTCTTCTCTGAACGGGGGAGTCGTTCAAGTCCCACATTTCTACTCCACTGAAAATAGAGATGGGAAGAAGAAGAAGGTTTTGGAGGAAAGGAGAAGGGATTAAGGGAAGGGAAGAAGGCTGTAGTTTTTTTTTTTTTTTTGGGTGGGGGAGGAGATTGATATGACAAAATGATACTAAAACTGGAACTGGGAATCAATAGGCAGCAGCAGGCAAATACAGAAACTTTTTCTCCGGTTTTATTTTATTGAATTAAACAAATAATTATTAATCGAATAGAAGAATAATTTTCGTTGAGAGGGAGTGACTGAGAGAGAAAATGAAACGAGAAGAGGGAGACGCAAACCAACAGATACAGACAGAAGGTGGAAGAGGCTTTTCAGTTTTCGTGATTCATTGATTACCCCCCAAAAAATATATTAGTACCGACGAGCACAAACCCCTTCCCAAAATAAAATACAAAAATAAACCAAAACCTACGAGATAGATAGATTGAGATAAGAATTAGGGTTAGAGAGATGAAATTTTGAGGATGGCAGGTTGAAATGTTGTATTTTATTTAAATATGGATGCAGATTTTAGAGGGTTTTTCATTTTTCTTCTTCTTCTATATGGTTCTTAAACGATTATCATGTTAACGGTGTAACAGATGAGTGAGCTGGTGGCGTGAGTCCCATGTAGCTCACTGTTTCATGTTGAAGGGGACGCGAGACTGCCTGGAGTGGTTCGCCCATGTTGGTGCAAGTGTCTCGGATGCGGAATTGGAAGATTGGTGCATGCTCCTTTGGATGATATGGAAGGAACGAAATGCGCATGTTTTCAATGGAACGAAGCTGGCGGAGGGAGATATATTTTGATGAAGTCGTGCTCTATTCTTGATGAATATCGGCAGCGACAAGTCCGGGAAGAGGCAATTACGGGTAGACAGTTTGAGGAAAAATGGAAGCGCCCAATGGAGGGGAGGATTAAAGTAAATACTGACGTCGGTTCGTTCACGAACGGAGGGGGTTTAGGCGTGGTCATCCAGGATCACACGGGGCGCTTCCTGTTGGCTGCAGTAAAGAAAATCAGAGGAGTACCCAACCAGGAATTGAATGAAGCTCTGGCGGCTGAACTTGGCTTACAACTGGTAAGACAACATGAGCTTGGAGTCACGATCCTAGAGCTGGATTGTTTAACAGTGGTGAAGTCAATAAAAGAAGCAGAAACTCAACATACAGAGCTGGGGACGATCTGTCAAAGTATTAGACGGATGTTGGATTCGATCCCGGAAGGGAGGATAGAACATGTTAGCCGGAAGGCGAATGAAGTTACGCATATTATAGCCCATTCATATACGAGATGGAATGTGGCGGAGGTTTGGTTCGATCGCCCAGCAATTTTTCTGGTCGATAAGTTGAAACTTGATGATGTAGTTGTGTCCACAAATCAATAAAGCTAAGCGCAGATTTCAATTAAAAAAAACCGCAATAGAAGATAGACTTGTGCATTGTAGATTGACAACAATAATTAACATTTAAGCTTCCATGTAATTTAGTGAGGTGTATGAGTTGGGTAATTGTTGTTGAGTCTCTTTATCTTGTCTGCTTCTTTAATCAAATTTGACTGTAGAATGGTGTTATTGTATACTTATGTTGGATTCAGTTGATTATGTAGTGATATCTATGTTAAATTGTATTTTGTATTTTGGTCTAACATTGTCGAATCACTTGCTTAACGATTATCTGGTTAACTGATTATACGGTTAATTAGAATTTAAATTATTTTTTTCCATTAAAATGATTTATATTTAATCGATAATTTTTTAAAATATTTGAATTAACTAGAATTTATTCTATTTTTACTGTATTAATGTTATACATTGTACCAATGGTTATTTATTCATTTTTAGTATTGAAGTTGAGCTAATTCTATATTTTTTTCATTTTTTGTTTTTTTTTTAAATGGTGAAGTGGTTTGAAGATTTTTTTTTAAATTTTATAAGAAAAACATAACATTAAGTGAATTTCATATTTTAAGCTTAACTTTAGGAAATGAAAAAATTGTTTCACCTAGGTTTCGAACCAAAACTTCATTTTGGAAGACTATATATTATAGGGTGCAAAAGTTAAAATGCTAACAAGCCCTTTTGTTAGCAGATACTAACTCGTATCCAAAATGGCTGAACTAATATCCACCTTATAGACAAATTATGGCTACTGAAAATATTTCGATAAAACTAGAAAAATTAGGAAGAAAAATAGATGAATATCAAGGAAATCTAATAAATATATTAGAAGACAATAATAAGCAATTAAAATCAATATTAGAATATCAAGGTAATGAAAAACAAAAAGATATATATTCAGATTTAGAACACGCTAAGGATACAATTACCAATATAATAGTGGATATAAAACAAAGAGAAATAGCAATGGGAAAAACAACTCCAAATTCTAAGGAAATAGTATTACCGGTAGAAGATCTTAAGGAAATCATTATTAAAATTCAAGAAATAATAATTAAATTAGATAATAAAAGAAGCATTACAATTGAAGATATAAAAGAATATTTGAATGAGCATAAATCAGGAAAATCTATCCCATTAACTATCATGGCACCCTACAAACTTCTATGACTAGTATTGACAAACAAATTAATAAATTAAACGATTTACTAGCCGCAATTACTATTGAATCAGAACCAGAAATAGAAGAAAATATAGAAAACGATAAAATAGTTCTTGACTATAGTAGTGACGAAAACCCCTATAAAAATTACACAAATACAAATTACACGAAAACTGAAACTGAGGATCAAGCTGAAACATCACGAAAGCGTGATTTTAATGACTATAAAGATGGTCAACTATTTTTTGATGAATACTTATATAAAAATTCGTATACACCTCGCAAAGGGGAGGATGGAGTAAAATACCTCAATCTTACATACCAAAATATTCCACCACTAGTTTTAACAATCCTGATATATTAGATCTTGATTGTTGCGTCAACCCATTAAAAGAATTAGAAGACTGAAAAAATCGAACAGGATTACTAATACAAACTAATGAAGATCTAAAGAAATTACACCCTAATGAAATGTTTAATTTCTTAATATATAAAACAACTGGGGCAGTTTATCATTATCTTAACAACATGGATATTCCTACTAAGACAACGTTATATGGAACAACGGATGCGACGAATACCTTTGAAAAAGTCTTAAATGCAATAACTCATGAATTCTTAGGACGACATCCTCGAGAAGATAAACCAAACACAACCATAAGTCAACAAGCTATTTGGCATTTAACTAATCTTAGAATTTGCAACATGTGCTTCTTAGAACCATTTATTTGTGAATTCAGAACACATTATTATCAAGTCACCCCTTCGATAAGAAAAGAGATGGATAAATTACTCTATGCTAAATTACCACCTAATGTCTCTGAAAAAGTTGAAGCTACCTTTAATGAAACTTTGGCTAAAGAAGAGATACCAAATACATTAGGAGGACGAATATTAGTTTTACAAGAATGGCATAAACAAGCTTGCAATAAGGAAAAACTAAAGAAAGAAGCTAAAATTAAACTCTGTTGTGAACAAACAATGGACAGAGTTGGAAAGTATGGGTGTAATGATGATCGTAAGATCATTAAAACTCGGAAAAAATATAGAAATTATAAAAAATGGAGAAAAATACCTTACAAGGAATATAGAAAAAATAGGTTTAGAAAACCGAATAAATATTTCAGAAATAGAAAACAGTTTAAACAAAAATCAAGACAACAAGAATACTGTCCTAAAGGAAAAACAAATTGTAGATGTTGGTTATGTAACGAAGAAGGACATTACGCAAATAGATGTCCTAAGAAAAATACTAACACTAGAAAACAAGAAGTCCTTAGATTAGCTTACGATTGTGGTTTTGAACCAATCGAAGAAACAGATTTTGAACTATCCGATATAGAAATTATTGAATATATTTCAACCTCAGAAACCTCTTCAGATGAGTCAGAAGAAGGTTTTAACTAAGGGAAATCCTAACGCAACATTTATTAAAATAGAAATAGAGAAGAAAAGCTTCTTAGCATATATTGATACAGGGGCAACCTTATGTTTTGCCAAAAAAATCAACCATAAAAAAATGGGATAAACTTGAAAAACCTTTAAAAATTATAGTGGCAGACAAATCTATCCATGAAATTTGGTATGTAAAACAATATGTACCAATAATCATTGAAAAACATATCTTCACAGCTAAAACAATCTATCAACATGACTCAGGACTAGATATAATAATAGGAAATAACTTTCTAAAATTATATCAACCATTTATCCAAAGGATTAGAACAATCAGCCTTAGATGTCCTAAAACAATAGACCAGGAATCTAAGATAATCACAACAAGAATAATCACAAAAAATGAAGTGCTAAAAATTGTGCTTCAAAACCTCAAAAATAGACTAGAATATATACAGATTACTTATAGCACTAGATATAATAATAGGAAATAACTTTCTAAAATTATATCAACCATTTATCCAAAGGATTAGAACAATCAGCCTTAGATGTCCTAAAACAATAGACCAGGAATCTAAGATAATCACAACAAGAATAATCACAAAAAATGAAGTGCTAAAAATTGTGCTTCAAAACCTCAAAAATAGACTAGAATATATACAGATTACTTATAGCATTCTAGAGGGTACTTTAGACCAGGTGTGTAGTGAACATCCTTTAGATAAAGATAAAAATACCAATCAAGAACTTATCGAAATTAAACTAAAAGATCCTAAAATGGAAGTTAATGTCCCTAACAAAATTCAATATACCCAACGAGATGTAGAAGAATTCCAAAAGGAATGTTCAGAGTTAGCTGAAAAAGGAATAATACGAGAAAGTAAAAGTTCTCACAGTGCACCAGCCTTTTATGTAGAAAATAATAACGAAATCAAAAGAGGAAAAAGAAGAATGGTAATAAACTATAAAAAACTAAACGAACAAACAATAGAAGATAGCTATAAACTACCTAGGAAAGACTATATATTAGAAAGATTAAAAGGTCAAACGTGGTTTAGTAGTTTAGATGCTAAATCTGGATATTGGCAACTTCGTCTACATGAGAATACCAAACCTTTAACAGCCTTTTCATGTCCAC